TACGAACTGTACAGCGGTGTTGTTTATTAACAATTATACCATTGGTTATAAATACTAGTATCTATAATCAATGATACATTTAAACGCCATCGTGTGTCTTCTTTTCTATCTTTTAGTTTTTGTTAGTAGATAGTAAAATGTCATTTTTTTAAGAGCACGTGTAGTGTATCTTTACAACCTGAATTCAGTTTCCTTAGAAAATTTGAAATATTAGGAATAGTACTTGGGTGCAATGCGTATCTTCAATTAAGCTCACGGGTCGTTAACATATTGAAATTTAATCAATATATGGAAAATATTAGGTTGTAACTTGAAAGATTAGGAGCCCGAATAGAACATCAAATATTTAATTTATTATTGAAATTTTTTGATGAATTATATTGACTTAAATCTGGAAAACGCAGGTTAATTTGAACAACATAAGTATATAGATTAAAGTAAAATTTTCCTAAAGATATAATATTGAACACACCCTTTTCAAATAATATAATAATATTATAATATAAATAATAATAATAATAATTATACCTAGACAACAGTATACAAAATCTTATACTCAAGTTTTTTCGTATTTTTTATCGTACTTCTCAGTCAGTATGCCATATAATACAAATTTCCAATTTTCAAATAAGATTTCTACTGTGAATTTATTTAGTGAATTTTTTTGAAAATAAATCTTATATTGTATATTGAACTATTATATTTGGACCTTTTGGGCGAAGTTTACAAATTGCAAATGTTGATATATTATAATTTTAATTACTAACATTTTTAATGTTATCATAGCCTACTTATCTTTCAAACCCATTATCATGGTAATGATCTTTGTACAAAAAGTTAAACAACTCAACTACTACTCATTCGAATTTTGATTTGGATACGTTCTCAAAATATTTATAGTAGAATAGGGAAAAACAAAAGTATGTATCTCCACAGAACGGAGTAGGTACAACTGAACTTCTTGATACTAATAATATGGTGATAAGGTTTATTTATAAATTCCAGAGCTTGCTCGTTGAATCACTCTGTATAATATTAATTTCGTACGAACAATAATAAAATGAATACGTGAAAAAAGATTATTTGTACCCCGATTAAAATGCAGGGCCGTCCCGCACAACAATAAATTAATGGTGGAATATAATGTAGGTAGGTATATGCCTATATATTAATATTAACTAATAAGTAATAAAAATAGGTACCTATATATACATAATATTATAAAATATCCAAACTGACAAAGCGTCTCCGCTGAGAATCGTTTTCGTATACAATGATATTTTATCATTGACTTAAAATTTAATACCATCCATTATACAGTGACCCACTCGTAACCTACTGTACATCAGAGCGACATCCACTTGCCCTGCCCCTTTTTAATATTAACATGTTCATAATTATAATATATATAATTTTCTATAACAAATACTTAGGTAATTATTGTTGTTTATTTTTATTTTTTTATAATAATATAGTTAGCTACCTATATTATCAAATGTAAATAACACTCATCTTAATTAATTGATTACGTAAATACGACAAAATGTTTTAAATTTCTAATATCTTAATTTGTAACTATAAGTTACATATAGGGTACATATAGGTAAAATCGTTTGAATTTAAAATGTTTACGATACTGATTAGTCACCGGTAATCCGCATCAATAGATTATTTATTGTTTTTGTGTAACTCGAAAACTAATAACCATAGATACTTTATATTTTCACAAAATGTTTATATTACAATTGTTGAATTTTCTATATAATTTATATTTTATAATTGAAGATGATATAATTTTCAAAATATTTTATCTTATATTTAGACTAATTTATAGCCATGAGAATGTTCGATTTTCATTAATTTGTCTTTAATTATAGCTGTTAAAACTTTTTTGCCGTGTCAAAAAACTTGACAATACAATGCAAGGGTCCTCCTCATTAGTTACTAATTATTATGATCGCAGTTCAAAAATATTAAAGATACAAATGCACTATTATATTGCTTATAAGCATTTAAAATGCAAAATTTTGACAATTGATTTGTAATTAAACATTTTTTATTTAATTTTATGTTTTTTTTTCATATATCATGCGAATAATAAATAAAACCTATTATAATAATATCTTTTTGAATTATTATTAGTTATTACAAACACCTAATGCAATACCAAAAGGCAATAATATTATAATGAATTACGTAATTTTAATATAAACAATCAGTAAAGTAAATGGTGAAATCCATATATTTTATGTTGATATGACTGCTATTGAGGCATTAAGAACTTCGAAATCGATATAAAATCCGTTACCAAAATTTAAACCACTCTAAATTTTTTTATTTATACATATCGCCTCCAAACTACAACAAGGCTAACAAAGACTAAAAATACTATAGGTACCTATCCAAATCAACCTTCAAACATCATTGAACTGGAGATGTTCTCGCATACTATATAAGTAGGGCAGAGGACTTGTAGCTCTAAAAAAGCTCTAAATATGCAAGCACTTATGCACTAAAAAACCCCATAATATGCAATTAAAATATGCACTTAAAATTTTTTTTAGCCTTTTTATTTAAATAATAAATACATAACCATAAGTCAAAAACCATATTAAATGACAAAAATTAAAAATAGATAAATTTTTATCCAAACATTTTGACTGTATTGTTTGAAAAAAAAATGTCACTTAAAATATGTCTCAAAAAATATAAAATAGCGTATAAAAGTGTAAAATATGCCCTAAAAACCAAAAAAACGTAAAATATGCATTTATATGCACAATAAAATTTCAAAACTAGCTTTGTGGAAGCATGAAACGTATTTGTTTCGCACTCTGCTATTTTTGTGGCTGTGCAAAAAAAATATGCAAATGCTACAAGTCCTCTGCCCTATATATAAGCAAATAATACAACTTCTCCTCTTATATACAGTTCATGTGTGGGATAATATTGTGCTAAAACCCGCTTACATAAAATAGTAAAGACAAGTATTTCAGTCCAAAGGTCTGAGGACAATATCTAATTGGCCACCGTTTGTTCGTAATGATGCACTTCACAAAAAATACCAGCTACCCCCAATAACTAAGTGCATACAAAAATTGACTCAAGCGCAGACGACCTTTTATTACAATATACATATTACATTATTATTACCTTCTGAATTGTAAATACAATACAACGTAGTAGTAAAATTGTATTCTAATATTATAATTAAGTAAATTACGTACTGTAGTCATACACTGTAATATTTAAAATTACTGATTCATAATACTATTTTTGTTATTGTTATCCATCATTTTCCAAACGTAAAAAATTTAATTCTATTAACAAGAAGTTTAGATGATTTCAAGGAAATAATAATTAATAAAAACAAAAAAAATACATATTATCTAAAGGAAACTCAGGAATGTATAAACAAGGATTTTCAGATATTTAGAAATCACAGTAAAAAAGCGGGTAAGTGGATGTCGCTCTGATTTATAATAGGTTTCAAGTGGGTCACTATATATAATGGATGGTATTCAATTTGAATTGAATGATATAATATCAATGTATACGAAAAACGATTCTGAGCTAAGACGGTTTGTCAGTGTTGCGTATTTTATATTATATTTATATTATTATTACTTAAAAATTGTAAAATCACAACAAAATAACTAAAATCGTTGTTATAATACTTATAATATTATAAATTATAATATATTATTATCTTTCTTCTTTGACTCTCTAGTAGTCTGTCTCTGTCTCTGTCTCTGTCTCTGTCTCTGTCTCTGTCTCTGTCTCTGTCTCTGTCTCTGTCTCTCTCTGTCTCGTCTCTGTCTCTCTCTCTGTCTCTCTCTCTCTCTCTCTCTCTCTCTCTCTCTCTCTCTCTCTATCTCCCTCAAACACACACATTATACATTTAGGAATATCTAATGAACGAAAATTAACAACGAATATTCACCGAATACAACACCACCGCTACAGTTAAACATATGCAGCCTCATATCAACCAAATTCCTCTAAATAATAATGTGAAAAAATTTTGTAAGTGGATGTCACTCTGCTACAAGTGGGTCCCTGTAATGGATGGTGTTAAATTTGAATTTAATGATATAATATCATAGTATAAGAAAAACGATTCTGAGCGAAAACTGTCAGTCAGCTTATTATATTACAAAGTATATTTATTACCTATTTGATGGTATTATTGTGAATAAAGTAATTTATATATAACCTATTTATGTGGAACATTGTTTTTAATTTTTAATCCTTAGCTATAAAAGTTGAAAAAAAAATTGAAAACTCACCATGTCCGTAAACAACTTAAAAAGAGTGAATTTATTTTCAAAATTTTATCGTGTATATAAAATGCTAATATAAACATTCAGTGAAATTTTCAAGTATCTAGTTTTTTATTTACAATAAAAGAAGAAAATCGTTACATGAGAAATCGAGTGAATATCAAATTTTGTAAACATATGAATTTCAAACTCTCATAAAAATTTAATTTGACTTTCTTGTAGACATTTTTTTTTTTTTTTTTTTTTGATAAAGGTAGACAAATGTATGAGGAATCTTGTATTACATTTTCAAATCTTAGATTTAAAAAGAAAATTTTTTATGAATTTCTAACTCAAAATAATTTGGAAATTTTCGTCGTTTTTACATATTTTGTCAATATTTGAACTTTAAATGCTTATAAAAAAAAATTGTGACTATTTATTTTTAATATTTTTCATCTGTCTTTGAAATAATATATTAGGAGCTTTCTATTCAATTTTTAAGCTTTTGTACCCAACAAATAAAATTTTAATGACATTCATATAAATAAAAATTAAAAAAATGTCCGTTAACAGTTCAAAACAAATGAAAACTTTCTAAAATTTTATCGTGTATACAAAATGCTACTAATATAAACAACCAATTCAAATAGTTCAATATAATTTTATTCTTATTCTTCTTATTAATTTGTTAAGTTAATAGTTACCTAATTTTTACATTTGATTTTCAGATTCAACATGCAGATCTTCATCAAAACTTTGAATGGTAAAACTATCATTTTGGAAGTTGAGTCATCATATCCCATTGAAAATATAAAAGTCAAGATCCAAGAAAGGGAAGGTTATCCAACACACCATCAACATCTGTTATTTATCAATAAGGAACTTAAAGACGGACATACTCTTTCCGAATACAATATTGAAAACGAATCTACTATTCACGTGGTGTTCCGTCTCCTTGGTGGTATGCAAATCTTTGTTAAGAAGGCCATTACATTGGAAGTGGAACCATCTAATTCCTTTGAAAATGTTATGGCCATTATCCAAGACAAAGAAGGTATCCCACCAGACCAACAACGTTTGAAGAGGAATCTTGGTTTCTTAGGATTCTTCTAGGTATCTTTGGATTTTCTTGGTGCAGCGTCTTCGTGGCTGAGCACAATAATTTTAACTTGATTTATTATTTATACTTTATCCAGAATGTGAACCAATTAATGTACCTATTTTTAAAATTTAAAATATTATGAATCTTGCTAAGTATTTTTATTTTTTTTTTTATCTCAGTTTTAAATACTATTCTAACGACGTTTGATATGAAAGTCAAAAAAAAAAAACATAATTTTACTATTTTATTATTTGTTTTAATTTTGCCTCGCATTTATCTTATCCAGGTGTTTTGTAATCTGTTGTGTGATACATGACTGTATAGTAGTGTTCAATAAAATTAGTAGGGGAGACTGGCTTAATATGACATATTGACATACCACATTTTAATTTAAAAAAATTGAAGGAAATAATGTAAGTTAACACATGAAACTTGAGCAACATATTCGTATTTATATTATACAGATATTTCTGGAGTCTAACTGTACATTTAATACAAACAAATAATTTTATTTCTCTTTTTTTGAAATGTGGGTACATAGGTACTATGTCATTTTCCCCTGAGTGTCAGATAAAATTACATACACCATATTTGTATAAGCAACCATTGTAATAGAAATAAATTATAAAATTTTTAGAATTTAATATTTTAATAAATTTTTTTTTTTATAAATAACAACACTTTAGAAATATATTTTAACATAATCAATATAATAATATTATAAATATGAAAATAATATAATAATAAACACTGCTATGTCATTTTGCCTGATATAATACAAGTTTTTTTTAAGTATTTATGGCAAAAGTATTAAAATAAGCTTATTTATAAAACAAATTGTAGTATAGCTTGCCTTTTTATGTCCAACTTTGATTAAAAAAAAAGGAAGTAACATACATTTTTATATTTTAAAATTAATTTTTAAAAATGATAAAAAAAAAGTTGACAAGACAAAAAGAACATTTTTGTTATTCTATGATAAGGTCAAAACCGGTGGTCACTGTATGCAATATTGTATGTAGGATGTTATATACTTATGTGTAACGTATTTAAATCGGATTTGGTTTGTAAATATCATTAATTCTAAGTCTCCCCTAATTGCTCGTTTCATATAACTGAATGTCTGAATAAATGGGAGTTTTTGAAAAACGTTTAGATTTGTCTAATACCAATGTGGTTTAACAAATCAATACATTTATAACTAAATATTTATGTTGAAAATTATTTATGTACATAATTTATTATGGTAACGAGATGTGGCAAAGACAATTTTGAAAAATAAATAATGGTATCAAATATCAATATAGAATATAGAATTAATGAAAAATGTAATCTTATTCTACCCTATTCTTGACACTTCATTAAAAAGATCAAATGCAAGTTTTTATGTTTCCTTCTATAATGTTTAACATGCCATAATAATTGAACAATTTTGAAACCTTTTATATTTATAATACTAACAAACGCTGTTGAATGAATATTATAATGTGGATTGATAAAAGATAAAATAAACAACACAATTAGTTACAATAATAATAACTAATAAGTAATATTTCACTATAACTAAAACACATAACTAAGTATGCGAAGTAAATTGTCTTCGAACAAGGTAAGTTCTATGCTTCCAAGCATTGTTGAGCTCAGATAAGGACAAAGGTATTTTTTTATCTAGACAAATATAAAACGTTATTATCTAGATGATAAAATAGATAAATTCAAATTTTTACATATTAATAACAAAAATAAATATCGGTATTTATAGGTGAAAATGATTATTTGCTTGTAAATATAAAATATCATCTTCCAAGATCTGACTTATTGAATTAAATATTTACTATTTCTTGCCTACAATTTATGATGTACAAATAGGTACCTAAGTTAGTTGAAAATAACATAGGTACGTAATATCAAATAAAAATTAAATTGTTGAAAAAAAAAATAATTATAAATAATCAGGTTCTAGTCTATATTGGGATAAAAAGTAAAAAATATAAAAGTGTTGAGAGAAAGAAAAAAATGTTATAATTAATTGTGAAAGATAAATGCAAAAAAAGGTGGGTAAGTGGATGTGGCTCTGCTTTACAGTAGGTTTCTAGTGGGTCTTTGTTTAATGGATGATATTAAATTTGAATTAAATGATATAACATCATTGTATACGAAAAACGATTTAGAGCGGTGACGGTTTGTCAGTGTTTATATTTTATACTTAATATTAATACATAATACGGTACCTAGCCGGTAACGTACTTATTGGGAACTATTATATATATACATGCATAATAATAACATTATATAGCCGCTGATAAATTGTGAGTGAGTTCATTATATATATCAATACATGTGCTTCTAGAAATCTAGAGTGAGTTTACGAATAACCGTGTTTTTATATTATTTATACAAGATCAGAACGCTGTTATTAATATTATAGAAGTGCACGAAGCGTATTCTCTTATCGTAGTATTTATATTGCTCGTGAATTATGATTATCTGTAGTATTAATTATTATCACCATGGTTACTTGTTGCACTAAAAATTATCGAAATATGCTAAAATATATACATGCACTTTAATTTTAATTTTATTTTTGAAAAATGAATAAAACATAATATTAAAGTTTTGAAAATAAAAAACTCAAAAAATAGTAGGCACACAAATATAGTAAAAATTATTTATACACGCCACACGGCCAATTTACTAATTCGAATATTGATATTTATGATGGACACTATTGGACAGAATTTAAAACTATTGTGAAATAAAACAACTTAATTTTTAAAAATACGGGCATATTATTATTATTTTTGGTTATTAAATAAAGAATAACTACGCGATATATGTGAACACCGTGATAAGCAAATACTTATCTACCAGCCAGCAAGTTGATAGACGACACGTGATGGGCATAATAATAATAATGTTTTTTTGGTCAACAATAAATTTACGATTTCATAGGGCTTACTTTGATACTTAATTTGTTACCTGATAGATACTTAATGAGATCCTCGCGTAGTACAAACTTGTCGACGACGTCCGGAGTCGGTTGCGAAGGTTATTCTGCCGGCGGCGATCGCCACTTCCGGTTCGTCAACCACCGTACCAGCCGATCCAGCATTTTACTCAGAGCCTCGGAAAACGTAGAAAAATTGAAGAATATTAAAATAATACATTTCCGAAAAAACCGAAGTTTCTTAAAAATTAAAAAAAAAAACCGAATTTATGGAAAATTAAAATAATCTACCTAAAAAAAAACCTTTTTAAAAATAGATAAGAAAACCTGTCATTGTCATTTCACACTTGAAAATACGGTTATCAATGTATTATTGTATTAATATTAAAATTAAACTATTAAAAATATACGGATATTTCAATATTTGTTCTAAAAATAACGTAGATAGGTACATATCAAATTATTATGTGGGAGTGTATTACCCCGAAAATAAATCACCTGTACTTTTAAATGTTAAAAATTGTATAGGTACTTTTGTCAATTCATATTTGTAATACCTACCTAACTAATAGAGATAGACATGTAAATTTACCGTAAATTTGATAAATGTTGATAATTTTGGTATGTTACCATGGGAACATCCCCAGAAACTCCTCTCCGCCGCTTTTGTCGCATTTCCATGAACTTATAATAATTATGGTAACATTTATTTTTTTTTTTACTATATAGTAAAATGTTCAATTGAGGTGGTAGTTATTTTTAATTTTTTTAAATATAGTGACTGGGATTCTGGTTCTAATATATGTGTTAAAAATAATAAAAATTATGTATAGAACATTTAAAGATAATCACAGAAGTTTAACCGGTGCCCCAAAGCCTTGAAAAGTATAACATTACTAATATTTGAAACTCGATTTATTATCTATACCTATCTGTGATAAAATTAAATTTATATTAATTGCTATAATAATTGACCGTATCAGATATTCTTATGGTGTATTCGTATTTTTAATGTTATGTGCTATAGTTACTACACTATCAGTGGTTATGGACGTTTTAAATTTTATAATATAAACTATTTAATTTTATTAATATGTTGTGACAGATGAATATTTTCCGCGCGAAGCCATTTAGTTTGAGGTGCCACATGCTAATTTTTTTTTGGTAAAAAATAATTGGTAAATTTAAGAGGTAAATCTTTACCGAGCTTACGTCTCTAGTTAAGTACCTACCAAATAACGAATGTTTGTTAAATATTTTATTTGAATGAAAGTGCAGTCTTCTTAAATAGTTAAACAATATTAGTAGGTAATAAAAATATTTAGTTGTTGATATAATACTTATTAATAATGCTTCGATTTTCAACTTCAGAACCTTCTTCGGTTGGAGAGTGAATATCGCGTTGGTGCATTGGGGAGGTCAAAATTTGAAGTTCCCTGAAATTTCAAAAGAGCCAAGAAAAACAAAAGAAAATTAAGGAAAAACGCGAATTTTCACTCAAAATCGATTTTTCACAAAATTGACTTTGGTTTTTACTGTAACTTTAAAACAAATGACCGTAGATAGATGACATTTTTACTGGTTGTTCATATTTGCATTTTCTATAAACGATAACATTTTCAAAATATTTTGATTTATTTTAAACTATTTAGGGACATTTTCATTTTCCATTTTTTTTTTTCTAAAAATATCAATAAAATTTTATTTCTTGGTTAAAAAAGCTTGAAAATTTAATAGAAGGTTCCAAGTATATTGTTTTAAAGGCAGATAAAAAATATTAAAAATCCTGAGTCACAGTTTATTTTATAAGCATTTAAAGTTCAAAAATTGACAAAATATTGAAAATCACGAAAATTGGCAAATTATTTTGAGTTAAGAATTCGTAAAAATTTTCTTTTTATACCTAAGATTTTAAATTGTAATACAAGATTCCTTATAAGATTATCTACCTTTATCAAAAAAGAAATGTCTATAAGAGAGTCAAATTAAATTTTTATGAGAGTTTGAAATTCAAATTTTAACAGCATTGAATATTCACTCGATTTCTCATGTAGCGATTTTCTT